CTTTCTGTTACAGTGACCTATTTATGTAAGGGCTTATGCATATGGTATCAGGTTATTTTAATGTTACAGAATTTAGGAGTCCAGGTTTTAGCTTTAAATAGTAACTAATATTAATTAAACCCCTGTTTCTACCATAGGGTGAAAGGCATATGCATATAAACAGGATATACAAAGCATATACAGAGGCTGATGTGTTAAGTTGGTTCTGTTACAGGCAGGGCTGGGGAGCACAGAGAGGCTCTCAGTGAGACTGGAGTTGCTGTGTTGATGACTAGACACGCACAGCGTGAGCCACTCCTGCCCTGAAAGACTTTACTATCTACACAGACAAAGCAGATGCGGGGTGAAGAAAAAGCACAGAGGTAGAAAATAATTTCTTTGCTGAAAGTTACTCATCAGCCGACAATGGCACACTGTTCTCCTGAATACCAAGCCGTGCTCAATGAATTATTTAACATGGATATTAAAAGCTTAAGTAGGGAGTCGTTAGGGCTTTAAAAGGCCCCAGCCCAGATTTCTAAACAAGGCTATCTAGAAGGAAGCTCCCAAATTCGCAACCATTGTGGCAACACAATCTGCCTCATTTTGAAAGATATCGAGCAGCCCAGTAGCTCCGACTAGGACCAGTATGGAGCACTGTGCTGTGGGGGCCCTTCATCCCGCGCTGCTCCTGCTCCAGAAACACGCCGAGCAGCTGGTTTGCTCTCAGGTCCCTTGTGCAGCTCCAAGAGTATCAGTGAGCTGCCGGGTCTGAAGCAGGAGCCGTCCCTCTGGGCAGGGCAGCACTGACCTGGCTCCACTGGCCCCTTGGATGCTTTCTGGCAGTGGTGGGCATTGTCCCACATGCTGTGCCTGGCATCCTACTTGCCTGTGTTTACAGGTTTGATCCATTAATTCTCAACCTCTACCAGTGTTTTCACCTGTTGTCCTTGGTGATCATTCAGTTTTCCCCAGATGATCTCTTCTCCCTCTCTCTGAGAGGCAGAAAAACATTTAATTATTTTTAGGGATGGACTCATCTCTGACTGGGAAAACACTGTATAGAAAATAAAAGCAGAGTATTAAACCTTTGTACAATACGAGGCTTTTTTTATTCCAACCATTTTCACAACAGACTTCATGAGTAAGAGTCCAGAATGCCATACATAAATGCCAAGAAATGGGATTTTCATTTCTGCATTTCTTCGATGAGAAATAGTCCCTGGGTTGTTTTGGAAAATGAATGCTGAAAGCTGGAAATCCTGATGGTAATTGGTGTTTTTTCATTTCCATATGTGCATTTTTCTTTGCAAACTATGTAGCATCGGCACAGTAAATATCTTTTATGTAATTTAGAAGTAAAATGCATTATGGAGCTTGCTGTTAGAGCTTCCTGGTAACATCATATAAACAGAAGCATGAGGGAGTCTGAAAAGATCTTGGGCCAATTTCTGCTCTTGGCTAAAATCCTACAACCCCCTTGAAATCAGTGGCATTCTGGGCTTGCAAATACGAGCAGAATTTGGACTCTAATTCTACAGATCTCTGAATGTGGGCATTGCAATGGAGAGCTGGCATTGCTGCTCCTGAAGGCCACTGCCAAATAACTGCTGGGCCCAATTTCCAATAGGCCTAGCCAGCTCATCCTGTTAGGATAAGGCACAGAACAGAGGTCAAAGTGGCTGTGGATAAAAAAAATCTAGTGAGACTCAGAATCAAATCAAATAAAATTTAAGACTCAGTTGTTCAAGAAAACCTTGTGCTTATTTCTTTTGGGTTTTTATAGGCTATCTCTCAGGAAGCAGGGGCTGATCCTGCTCTCATGAAAGCCTATGGTGAAAATCTCAGCAGTCTCAGGGGTCGCACACTGGGCCCCAAACAACAAGATTAGAAGAACTGAAATGATGTTAGCTCTAAACACGGGATCCAAAGCTCACTGAAGTGAAGAAGAAACTTCCCATTTACCAGCTCTGAAGATAAATCTACCTCAAAATGAATACATTACTGAGATTCCTCTAGTGATTTCTAAAGCTTTAGCAAAAGAAATAACAAGCTACTACGGCAGAAGCAAACATAAAAGGAACCAAAGAAAAAGGTCCTCTGTGTTAGCAGATGGATTAAATGGATTTGGGAGAAGGGAGTAAAAATCAGAAGAAACTCCTTTCAGAAAAATTGTGCCAATATTTTCTAAAGAGGTATATGAATAGATGGTCCTTAAAACCATGAAAATAAGTTGTGCTGGGATATCAGGGTGATGGGAGCATTAACATGTGAAAGCAGATCTAAGTAATGCAGGTCAAGGAGAATAAACACCGTGTCAGTTGGGATGTTATAAATGAGGAACTAATGTTCACTGATTTTTCCATTTTGCCATACATCATCAAACCGCTGGCATAGCTGGGAAACCTTTCACCTCTCTCCTGGGTGTTTCAGCCTGTACTGGGATCCCCTATTTAATTGTTTGTAGCTTGTTTTGGACATCTCTATCAAAGCAAAATCATGTCTGGTAGAACGAAGTTGTTCCATGAAGATGAACATCCCACTGAAGTTGCATGTACTTCAGGCAATCCTGTGTCCTGCTGAACGTTTGTGCACTCTTAAAAATCAAAACTATTCTGATCAACTTAATGTGGACCAATAGCTTTTAATTCCTTCTCTGCAGTGGTCCCCAGAAAACAGGCTTCTGTTTTCAGCTACTGGCTCAGGATCACTCTTGACTCTTCATCTGATTTCTGACCCTTGCTCAGAGTCAAGGATGCCCTTCTATTGGTGGTTAACATCTTAGTTCATTTCTCTGATTATACACTTCCCTCTTCGTCCTTATCCTATTGACTTCAGCCAGGTTTTTTAATCTATCAGTCCTGAGATCCATAAATCAGAAAATTGAACACTATTTCTTCAATATTATGCCTTCCATTCACAGTGGAACATGCACATTTAATTTTTAACTGCATCCTTTATTCTACTCAAGGAATAAGCCTGGCCATTTGGTTTATGATTTTTCTTCCTCAGAGATAGTTTGACTACTAGCTTTTTTTTGTGCAAATGGCATAAAACTTTGTGTTGCCTATTTCCCAGTTGTTTTCCTCTTCGAAGCTGTAGCAGCTTCTGACTGTACCAAACACACTGATTCTGAATGCTCCAAGAAACCTACTTACTCCAGCATTACTGTAACTGAGTTTTCTCATTTTGGCACATCAAAAAACTGACAAGCTTCATACACAACTTCAGTAAGATCACATCTGAACATTCTGCTGCCCCCCCATGACATCTGATGCCACAACATTTGTTCCACCATGTGTTGCTGGTCAATAACTCCTGGCAGGAGGTGACCATCTTGTTCACTGTTCACAATTCCTTTTTTATTCCCACTGCTGCACTGCCAGCTGTTGGACTGGTCACTCACAACTGCAGAAGAATCAGTTGGCCTTTTCCTAAACACTGTGAATGTTCCACCCTAGTATTCTGCATTTATATTTCTAGTTATAAGATGGAACTTGACACAAAGAAAGCACTCTGAGAGCAACCAAAGGGAATTTAGGGTTTTAAAAAAATCATATAAAAAAAGATGATCATGGAGAGGCTTGGAGGAATGTGATCATCACTCCCCACAGCTCCTTATGATTACTGCCAAGACCATGAAAGCGCTCCAAATAATGTTGTGGGGAATGCTGTGATACCCACATGCAATGCAGGTCATCTTCTGTTCATGCAACCTGGCATTTGGAAAACCTATTGCATCAGCTAAGACAGCCAAGAGTGAATAATCTCTACTGAAATAGCTGTAAAGCTATGTTAGCACTTCCACGCTGGTTGCGCCAGCATTTTCTGGTGTTGATCAAAGCACAGATATTCAAAATAAAAAAGAAAAATTAGGTACCTTTTTCCCATTAAGTGCTTTTGCCAGGTTTATGGATCTACCTACTCAGCTCACAACATGGGTAATAGTGAGCTCCTAGGGAGGTTTCTGCTTGGACTTTATCTTTGCTGAAATCTTTATGTATCCTCTTGCAATGGTCTGGAGTTCCTCTGCTCAAAAAAAGACCCAAAATTTTAAAATCTGTTCACAGTTCCCCAGGGAAATCGATGATCCTGATGGGTCCCTTCCAACTCAGTATATTCTGTGATTTTGTGAAATGGAAACATGTTTTACCCGTCCTCAGCTTCTCTGGCTTCACAACTGCTCACTTTTCTTTCTCCTCCAAAACTCCCTGCAAATGCCACTCACCTCCTGGCAGCTCCTCCAGCCTTGGCCTGCTCCTCTCTGCTATCCACAGATAAAATTCCTCTTTTATTTGGCTTGTTTCATCTCCCTGGAATCCCGTCCTCCCTTCCTATCTGCTTCAAGCCGCCAAGTCAGTCATCATCCTTAAATCTCACCTTTAAACCTTCCTGCTTGGTGTGGACTAGAGCCACCTGTGACAGGAGGGGAGACTGTATAATACATATATTTAAATACATATATATTTAAGAGAGAGAGAGTGGGTGTGAGGTGGATGGAAATGGTCTGTATGAAAACAAGCTGTGGTAGATTGTCTCAGAGCCCCATGGGAAAAGAAAACAGAGGCAAGCATGTGACATTAAAGGTAGCAAGGGACTCCACAGCTGCCTTCCCACAGGGCACAAGACGCGATGGGGCTGCGGGTGAGCGCCTAACCCCACTGAGCGCCCTGACCGCGCTCCGGCAGGAAACCTTTCCCCTCGCGGATCCGAAGGGCAGAGGGAGCGGCAGCAGGCACACACGCAGGGGTTTATTTACAGAGAAATGAATTTATTTGCGGCGGGAGGAGGGCGGATGACGCCGTGCCGAGGCACCGCTGCCCGCTCGCCCTCCCGCGGCCGCGTTCGCCTCAGGTCACTCCTGAGGGCGGGGGGGAGCCGGGCACGGGCCGCTGTCCCTTTAAACACCATCCCGTGGTTGACGTCGCCGCCGTCGCCTTGCCATAATTACTAGCGGGGCCGTAGCGCCGCCCCCTTTCTGCCCGCGGCCTCCCTTGCTGGGCTCGTCCAATCAGCGCCCGCCCGCGTCACTCCGAGGGCAACGAAACACGGAGAAAGGGGAAAAAAAAGTTTGGTGCGGAGCGAGCGGGGCCGGGCGGGCGCGGCGGGCCCGGCAAAGGTGAGGGAGCGCGGCGGGGCCGGGGCGGCCGGGCTGGGGCAGCGGCGGTGGCTGCGGCCCCGCACCGTGGCGGGGCAGGGTGTGGGGGGGGGCTGCGGCCGCCCGCCGCCCCCGGGGAGCGGCGGAGGGGCTGCGGGGAGAGTCCCCCCTGCGGACCCCCGAGCCCCGCACCCGGCGGGCGCGGGGCTTGCGGGGCGGCGGCGGCGGCGGGCGCGGGGCCCTCTGCGGGTTTTTTTTCTGCCTTTTTTGGTGGTTCCGTCGTCCGTCTCCCCACCCCCGACGGGCGGCTGCGTGCGCAGGAGCCATCCCGGGGCAGAGGTGTTTGTACTCGTGTCCTTGGGTGGAAGGGAGAGGCACAGCCGGCCCGTCGCCAGCGCTGCGCCGGCCGGGCCCGGCCCCGCACGGACCGCGGGGGTTTTGGGGGCCGTGGGAACCGGGCTGGACCCGGCGGCGGTGCCCTGTCAGACCCAGGGCTCCCCCCGGCTGTCCGGGCCTCGCCGCCCCTCGGGTGAGCCCAGAGCAGCGGTTCTGGCCGGTGTGGGGACAGAGGTACCGGGGATCAGCGTCCAGCTGGGCTTGTGGCACCCCCCTGGTTAAGCCAAGGGTTAAAACTTAACCCAGCCTGACGTAGTTTTGAGTTTTATCGTGTGAAAAGTTGTTTTTGTTGTTGTGCTGGTGTTCACCCAAGAACCCTGCGAAATTTAACCCGAACTTAACTCCTAGGTAAAAAGCCTGGCGTGATAGATAAGGGATGCAAACATCCACTCGTGTTTCCACGGGATGTTAGGATTGGGGAATCTTAAAAAATAAAAAGGGCAGCTGTCTCTGCTGTTAATAGCAGCAACAACAACGAAATACAGAAGCCTCTACCACATGTGCTGATGTAATGTGGAGGCATTCAGCAAAACCATGGTAGTTGCTTCAGCCCCTGCGTGAACTGACTTAAGTGCACCGTTGTGTTCTGGAGTCCATTCCCCGAGTGTTTGTCCAGACTTGTCCTATAATAGGTGTCATTGCGTAAGAGTTACAGGGAGCAAAGAGCGTGCCGAGTTTCTTTCACTCTTCTAAGGTTCTTTGCTTGCATCTTAACTGTGCCAAACTCTGTGTATACTGGAGAGAGAAGGGCACAGCTTGGTAAGCTGCCCTGTGAGCTTCAGGGAAAAAAAAAAAAAAGAAGAAATTATGCTCTTCCTCCTACTACTTCCCAGCAAATGATTTTGTTTGTCTGATGTCATCTTAAAAAATTTCTTGTCACAGAGTGCTTGTCCTTATCTGAACTGTGGATGATGGTAGCTCAACAATTGAGGAAGTAAAGTCCTTCCTTTGTCTCTTTCCTGTCTCTCTTCTAACTTTTATAGTTTTGCTCGATTTGTTTTTCTAGTGCCGAGGTACTTACACCTGTTGTTTATATTTATTATCACCTAACATAGAACAAGGGACTGGCTCTCTTCTGATCAGTTATATATTTGTTTAGGCCAAAATAAGTATGCTTGGGGAGGATTTTTCTTTCTTATGATACTGCATAACAAAATATATGACATATCAGTGGCCTAATTCCTTGGGTTTACTACTATGCAGTTAGAGAAGACATTCTTCAGTACTGGAGAAACTGTCTCCTGTATGTATTTCATAGAATACCTCTTATAATATTTGTTTGTCTTAAAAACCTGTGAATCATATTAAATTTATTTTAATCTGTTATTATTTTACTTCCTGACTAATCTTGAATTTATGGCAAAAATGAACAACAGTGTGTGTGACACTGCATATTTTTAAGTGTGATCTAAGAATGTAAGTTTACATTTCAACTTCTTGTTACTTCATGGTCTCAGATGGCACATTGAAAACCTTACACAAATAGCTTGAAAGAGATAGTGGCAAGTTATCAGAGGGAGAGTAGCATTAACACAAACTACTGAAAAGTTGCTATGGTTACAGATAAAGGTAATCCCTGTTTCTGTGAAAGTGTGTCGTTTTGTAACAGCTATATTAATCAGTGTGATTTCTGAGAGAATTGGAAGTATACAAACTTCTAGCTCCATTTTCTTGGCAGCTAATCGCTATGCAGCTTTTTCTATTTTTTTTTCTTTTTAGTACTGAATGGGCTATGACTTGCATTCAAGATACTTGATTTGAGCTACAAAGAGTATTATAGATTACATATAAATGTATTTGGACTATGCTCAATTCAGTGGAAACTGTAGTATGCTTATTTTTGCTCCACCCAAGAGATACCTGATGTCAAGGAAATGTCTTAAAATGTCTAGATCCTTTTGCAAGGATTTTGACTAAGGCGAGTGTTGTGGCCATTCATCACCAGAGGCCTTGGTGGTGCAGCTGTACAAGTTACAATTCCATGTCCTGATTAAAAAAAAAACAAACAAAAACCAAAAACCACTAAACCGAAAAACTCCGCCCAAGCAACCAACTCACAGCCCCCCAAAAAACCCCAACAACCCATGAACAAACCCCCTCAAACTAAACCAACATGGCAACTGCTGAGGGATTGAGACCTATTATGGATGTCCAGCTTTATAGGCCAGGGGAATGCGAGGCAGGACAAATGATTCTGTTAAGGGTTTATTCCCCACATAGGAGGAGACAGTTGGGATTTAACATGAATGAGTAGCCTAGATTTGGGTGGTTTGAGGCAGCTGCTAAAACTGCCAAGGGAATGTGTTTGTCTGGTGTATCTGTGCTGCTGTCCAGACGAGTCACCAGACCTCTCTGAAGGTATTTACCACGTGCGCCTCTTTGTTGTTTCCAGGTCTGAGTGTTGCACAGCAGTGGTACATCTTGGATTGAAAACAGCAAGAGGAATCTCAAAGTTCAAGATTACTGAAATCTCATCAGTCTGGTATGTTCTCTTTAAACTCCTGGAATAGCAAGTTGAATTCTTTGTATGTGAGAGCCTCCTTAGTTACAGCTGAGGATTAAGTTTCCTGGTAGGTTTCTAGGATCTTGGCTTTTCTTCAGCAACTTAATTCTCAGGAAGTAATACACTACTAAGAACTATGACCTGTGTATTGCTGGGGTTGTGTAGAAGATTGTTTTTGGTAGTGGTGTTTGTAGCAGGACAATGAACCCTTGCTCCCAGAACCTTCAGTCAACATACACTCTGAACTTGTTTTCATCTTGCCTATCCAGTTTGGAAATTCCAGGTACTTATACAGACTTTTAAAACTAAAGTCAGGTTGGAAAGGGGCTATTGCTGACAAACTTTGCAGAAGCTGCACACTGATCTATTGAAGAATGCGTAAGAATATGAAAAGGAATGTTGGTTTCTTCAGTCAGGGATTTTTTTTTTCCAGTCTTTATGCAGACGTTGCCCTTATGAAGTTAATGTTGTATAGGTTTGATAAAAAATTAGTAATAATGTCTCAAATAATTTCTCAAATGCCAAAGTTCTGAAATTGCTATGCTAATGTGCCTTTAAAATTGATGTATTTCCAAAAATACCCAGCAAGTTTGAGAACTATTGTTTATAAACAGGATTGCAGCATCTGAGGGTGTGAAAGGAATGGGAAGCTAAAAACTACTTTCAAATCTGTCTCTAATAAGAAAAGCAAAGTCAGAACTATAATAATAAGAAATAAAAAGTTCAGCACATTAGTGCTGACATAATTGACAACCAGAGGGTAAAGTCCTTTTCTCCAGTGCCAGTTCAGTATGTGCACCCAGCAGATCAGTTCCTTTGCTACTTATTAACGTGTACAGAACCAGAAGGTGTAATGTATTCAAGACTGAAAAACAGGTGCAAACCACTGAAGAAAGCTCTTGTGGTTCACGCTGATCTGTTGGGAACCGGACAGCGAGTAACCATCTCTCATCTAATCCCCCAACAGCTATCACATGTAGCTTTTGATCACTGCTATTCTTGTCTCTGTTTGAACTGGTGACTTAAAGATGAAAGGCTCTGTTCTTGATCTCTTGAGCTGTCAAGTCCTCCAAACTTGCTGTCTCCTGTATATGTAAGATGACAGAACAACTGGCCCTTTAGCAGTTTCATGATTACAATAGTCAAATGAGAGTCAGGTGCTTTCTGTTACTGTCCTCAGCGTGAAGTTGGGTTGCACTAAACTGAATTTTTTTTTTTTTAACACTGCTGTCAAAGCTTCCCTGCTTAATGTTCTTGCAGCTGCAGTCTGCTATTTCCAGTTTTTTTCTGCATTGCCACAGATGTTGTAAGAGTAGCAAAAGCTTTACTTAAGCCTGGACCTAAAGTGGTGTCATTGCATTTTCTCCAGAATGTATGTGTGTTTACAGGGAAAATAAGTGGCTTTTGTGCAGAAACTGATGCTAAAAAATTAGGTTTTTTTAGTGTCTAGTTTCACTACGTCTCTTTCAGCGTGGGATAATAACTTGAATAGCAATTTTTTTATGCTCAGATTGCTAACATCTGGATACAGATTTCTAGTCCAGTGAGCTAGGGAACCTAGCAGGATACCCCACTTAGCAGATGATGCAGGGATCTTCACTTTTACAAGGATGGCAAACTACTCTTGGGACATTCGTAGTATTACTGACAGTTGTGTTGTGTGGGTGGGTTTGTTTTGGTGTTAAATGAGATGAGGTAAGCAAATCTGGGTGGTCAGTGCTGGATGGAGAAGAATGTGTTTTGCCATCCCCCTTGTGCTCTGGGTGAGCTGTGCTCTTGCTTATCAGAGGCTGGCCAAGCTTCTGCCAACCCAGAGACTCGGAGGCAGGTGGAAGGGGCTGATGAGCACCAGAGCTGGGCTGTGGGAGTTGGCCAGACTGCATGAAGGGGGGAGAGGTGAGGAGGAAAAGGGATGAAACGTCTCCCTCTCAGTGATAAGAGCTCCTGTGTGTGTGTATGGCCAGTCTTTGCAAACGAAGATTTTGGGAAAGGTCTTTTTAACCTTTCGAGCCTGCGCAATCAATTTTTAGGTGAGACACAGCATGCGCTGAACTGAGCCCACCCCAGTTACCTGCGTAACAGAAGTGTGAGCTGAAATGTTGGATGTTTGATGATAAAAATTACTTTTTGTTGCTGTTGCCACGTGGTGAAATTGCTGTGGTAGCATATAGAGCTGGAAAGTTTTGGGGTAGTGTGTTTTGGGTTTTCTTTTCCCCTCTCCTTTTGAAAGTACCCAAACAACACCACTGACTTTAGGGTTCTTGTGTCTTCTAACACTTGGCAGTTTGGTTGATATGATTTGTGACTTGTGCTGCTGTTTTTATGGGCCTAAAGTTAATGTGTTCTAAATTGAAGCTTTCCAAGATTGGTTACTGTGATACCTAAGGGACACTTTATTAGTCTGTTTTGTTTGCGTGAACTGTGTTCTTGGTTTTGATTGCTTAGATAAGAGTTGGTCAAAAAAGTGTCATGTAAGTGTGACCTCAGAGTTATCCTCAGGAGACCTGAGATTAACCTCCAGCAGTGCTGGCTCTGGCAGGGCACTGAATTCAGATGCAAGGGTTAAGGTCGGGTCCTTTCAGCTTGTATTTTAGGTACTGAGGGGGAAATTATGTGAATATTGTTTTTTCTGTGCTTGCTTCATACATAGCAACTTACAGCTGTACCAATTGCTGCTTTTCAGTCCTGTTTGAATTTGTGGCATGGTAGGTTGCTCTAAAATAGGAGGTAACACAAAATGTGCTATTTCACAGTTTTAGAGAATTAAATGTCCTTCCTGAAGGTGTTTTTTATGCTCTTTTTGGTGTTTCACAGCTCAAGGGAGTACTTAGCTGTAAATATTTTCTTGATGTTATTTGCTAAACTGCCTTGGACTTTTTAATCTCTATTAGGGAAGTTAAAACATCTCCATTTTGTGGTATTGGCAGTGAGTGAAGTAAGGCAAAGCAGGCAGCTCCAGCACTGGGAAAGTTGGCAATAGCCAGAAGAACAACCTAAATGTGGTTATGCTTCCTCTAGCTTAATATTTTTAGTTATTTTACACTAAACACATGAAAATGTTTTATGCAAGGCGGCTTTGCTACCCAGATAAGTCTTGTGTAACCATGATGATACTTTGTGGGTGCAGGAGGGAACACTGTGTTGTGGCTCTTCCTCGTGTTGCTTGTTTGGAATGGGGCAAGGTTTGTCTCAAACCAGGTGTCATATCTGCCCTTGTGAAATATTTATCAAGCCTTGTTTTGTGTTTACTTTTCTTTTCTCTGTATAGATGGGTAGGGAACCACATCAGTGTTTGCACTGAGGAAAAAGAAACACTTCTAATCTAAGGATTAAAAGGACAGGGTTTTGTCTAGTGCTGAGAGGAAGCTGTGCCGTGAGAAATGCTGTTGTCACAACGTGACCAGGATCTTGCAAATTCGTTCAGCCGAGTGAAGCCTGAATAAGCACAAAAAGTTTCTGGCAGGAGCCGTGGTACCTTGTGGGATGGAGACAGTCACTTCCTGCGGAGCTCCTGCTGACTCATGCTTTAAATGGGTGGAAGTCTTTGGAACCGGCGACCCGATGTATTTTTAGCCGGGGTTACTAATTTATATAGTGTGCTCGGCCTCCCAGGGCAACTCCAGTCACCCTTAAAGCGCGGATGGGCTCCAACACACATCTAATTTTATCCCCGAAGTGGAGCAAGCAGCAGTTGTGTAATTGCCGCGGGAGAAGAGAAGAGAAGGTGCTCTGCTGTCCCCCATCCCCGGTCCCCCTGGCTGGGGGGCTGCGTGCCGGGAGGGGTGGGCGCCCCGCGGGGTCTGCGTGTCCCGGGAGGGCCGTGGGCTGTCACGGCGGGAGCGGGACGCGGCCCCTTTAAGAGCGCGCGCCGGGGGTGCCCGAGCCCGCCCAGCCTAACCTGCTAGCGAGGAAAAGTTCTTTGCGTGACGGACAGGCCACTCCGCCAATCGGCGAGCGCGGCCCGGCCGGCGGGGCGGGCCTCCGCCCGCCTCGGCCAATGGGAGCGCGGGGGCGGGGCCCCGCCGCCGGGGTAGGTTGCGCCGAAGTGCAGCTCCAAGTGAAGTTAATCTGGGGTGAAGCGAGCAGAGAATTGTGCAGATCTTGGTGGTAGGAATTTTGCGGTTCTAATCGCGTCGTGTGGCGTCGTTCCGCCCGCCGGGGCAGCGGAATTCATGTGCGTGGGGCTTTTCCTTCGTCGTTTCGCTCGCTAATGATGGCAGGATATTAACATTTATGCAGGGAAGCAGAACAAAAGGGCTCTTTAGACAGGAAATAAGGTGCTGAGAGAGGCTCAAACTTGACCGAGTTTCTTTTGTCATCTGTCGGCTTGCACCGAGTGTTCTGGCGTGGAAGAATCGAGTGGTTCCACATTATCTTATGGAGAAATGTTAATTCTAAAATAGCGAGGATAATGCTGCTGTTTTGGAGTTACACAATGTTACAGGAAGAGAGCTCGATTTTAACTCTAACTTCCCTGATTCTGATGAGATTGGAGGTAACTAATTATGACAGCTGCTGTGGGATTATTCAGTGATAGCATTTGCTCCAAGTCGTTTGTCTTAAATTGTCCTTTGTTGTATCACTGAAGGCTGCTGTGCTGTTGTCTGTGTGTTTGTTCTTGATGAGATGAATGTCTCACAGGTCTTTAGCGTTTAGAACAAAGATATGTAAAAACTATGTAAAACATGGCAATTTTTCTCTTTTTTAATACGTTTTATAGGGTGTCTGGGTCTGTCAGAGCTCTGATTACAAACACAGGCAGGAAAATTAAATGTTACTGCTCTGTGTTGCAGCTACTACCCTTCCAGCCAAAAAAAAAGGGGGAGGCGGAATTGTATTTTTTTTTTTCTTTTTGGAAAAGGTCAGAATCTTTTTGGAAACCTGTATTGTCTAATGATAACAGGTGTTTTATTTGAGGAAAGATTATTTTCAGTTTGTGTTTATCATATATGGTATTTTTAGTGACACTGAGCATCTGA